AAACAAAACTTCCAGAACACGGCCACACAGCCCGGAAGACCCACACCAGCCATTAAACTCCATGTCCACTTGAAGGGGGGGTAGGGGGCGTCTTAAATTCCGTAGCTGCCATTTCATCCGAGCTAAAAAAATACCCCTATTTACAGCAAACAGTGAGCAAAGCAGATCCTGGATAGGGCCACTATTGCGAGGGAAGGCAAACTCTTGTAAGATCCCCCTCAGTGGGAGCAAACCGCCTGCTGAGTGGCTTCACTCATCACACTAAACTTTCATATGGTGGGCTTGTTTGTGTGGGTTTGCATGGGCTGCGAACCCAGCTGCTCTGCTTTGCAAACCATGGTTTAACACACATTAAATCATGATAAAGCAAACCCTGGCTTGGCACCATGTGTAAAGCTAATTTCCCTGGGGGAAAGCAGTAGCGTGGTGGGTTTACGCCCAAGAATAAATGGTAGTCATGGATTGATACGGAGAATGTGTTGATGTGATGAAAAAGACCTGTCTGCTCCCAGCAATTTGCTGGCACCAGGGGCACTGGGGGTTGGGAAGATGGAACAATGCTCCTTGCCAGTTGTGGTGGGAGAGCCAAACTGAAAATTCCCATAAGATGTATTTTTACCACCCCACTCTCCTTCAGGAAAAAGCTACAGGTAGTCCTCACTTAATGACCACAATAGGGACCAAAAATTAGTTGTTAAGCAGGGCAGTTGTTAAGCGAGTTGCACCCGATTTTACGATCTTTTTTTGCAGCGGTCATTAAGCAAATCACCATGGTCATTAAGCAAATCACATGGTTGTTAAGCGAATCACACAGTTTCCCATTGATTTTGCTTGCCAGAAGCCAGCTGGGAAGGTCGCAAATGGCAATCACATGACCCCAGGGCGCTGCAACCGTCGTAAGTGTGAGGTGGTCGCCAAGCGCCCAGATCATGATCAGGTGACCACGGGGGTGCTGCGATAGTTGTAAGTGCGAAGACTGGTTGTAAGTTCCTTTGTTCAGCCCTGTTGTAACTTCTAACGGTCACTAAACAAATGGTTGTCAAGTGAGGACTACCTGTATTGTGGAGATTGTTTAATGCCTGGCCATTTCACTATACAACTGCCCAGCTCTTTCCCAAATGACACTGGGGCTGTGTTCGCACAACCTGCGGAACACAGTTACTGAACTGACTCACTTCTCTGTGTTTGCAGATACATGGAATCATAATCTGACCAAGCAGGCTGGATTCACCCAACATACTAAGCTAGAAAAAGCGAAAGGTTAAACCCAACCCTTTGGCATATTATGCAGACCCCGCAGCTAAACGCATTAGACGTAGGCAGCTTCTGTGAATACAGCCAGTGTCTGGCCACACCAGACTGGCCCGTCTGCAATGGCAGGAAAGGAGTTTCTCTTCCTCCGCAGAGATGTGCCGAAAGGGTTCTCCCCATGCTCGCTAGGGATCCCGGGAGCAGAAGCCCAGGCTATACCGGGGCACCGAAAGCAATTCGAAAGGCTGCTTCCCCCCCTCCGCCCCACACCTCCAACTCTGGGGAGACTCACGGATCTGGGGACAGGCTTTGGTTGGGGAACAGATTCCACGTGAAAGTGCTTTGCAGACCTTAGAAGACACGTGTTCTCTGCCATTCACGTTAGACGAGAAAATGCAGGTGGAGGAACCAGGCGCATCTTAGCAAAAAGTAAAATGTGGATAGGATTGTGTAGTGAAGCATGCGGAGTGACAAAAGGCTGCTTAGCGTTTATCACTTTTGCTCTCTGCCTTCCTCACAAGCAACTCAGCGCCGCTAGATGCAAAATACGCAGCCTCATGGATGGAGAGGGGCGTCCGTGCTAGAAGCTGGATCCTCGACTCTGAACTGACTTCTCTGCACAGAATTGCTCCTAGTTCAGCAACAAATTCCCTCACTCCAGCCTGAACCAGCATAACTCCGCTTGCAGCTTACGCCTTGGTTTGTGGTGCTGAGTAGCTCCCGCTTGGCGCATCCAGGAACCTGGTTTGTACCTGAGCTCAGGCAGGTGGGCCCTGGAGAACGTGGGGCTCTGTGGAGATGATGTTGCGTCAACACTCAACCTTTGTGCAAAAAGACCAGCCATCAGCCTGATCCCAAACAAGCCATGTGAACATAAGCATTGAGTCTGGTGCCAATCCTTGTTTAGGGCAGAGCGTTCCAGTTCAAGCGCTCTCTCTGCCAGGAGAACGCAGGTGCTGAGCCCTCCGTCAGCCCAATCTTCACCCTGGGTGGGAGCAGCCCAGGAGCGTCCCCTACAATGGAAAGGTTTTCTGCCACAGACCCCCTTCACTGTGCAAGGCATCTCCTGAAGGCCCAAAGAATTGAGATGGGGGGGTGGAGAGACAGGGGGAGGAGGCCAAGCAACGCATTCCCTGGTAAGGGGCATAAATGAGGAGCAGGAGAGGAACAGGAGACAAGGAAAGGTCAGCAAACGTGGAATAAGGGTTTTCTGCCATTCGGTTTGGCCAAACTCCGCTGCTGATGAGCTCGGCTAGGGCAAGCAAAGCCCCACGCTTGGGGGGGAGCCTCTTCCGCCTTGCCACTGCTGCACAGCCCCTGAAGATGGATGCTGTTTCCAGCAGTGCAACCAGCCTTGGCCGGTGGTGGGCACAGAAAGTCTGGATTATTTTAAAGCAGGAGGAAGCCTTTCGGGAAGACCCACCTTCTCAAGATTCCCCCAGCACTTGGGGAGATACTAAGTCATATGCAACACCCCTTTCCGCACCATTTGGGGTCCGTTTCAAAACTTGCACCACACGGCTCGTCCTTCGTGGCCACGAGGCCCAAGCGGTGCAACCCTCGGTGCACCTCAGCGGGCTCACCTGGAACGGACTTGCGGTGCATCAGCCACCCCGCAAGCTGTTTGTCCTGAGGACAGCCGGTCACCGGCCCTCCTTAAAGCCGCCGAGTCAGCAGCTGTGCCTGCAAGTGGGCGACCCGTCCACACGGTCTTGGGCCTGGATTTGAAGCCCCCTCATCAAGGACACATGAATCTCCAATATCCCCCTGAGGTGGGGATGGGGGCGACCGAGGGTGCCCGAGCTCAGGAGGGCAAAGGAGTTGGGAGTTTCTGCAGCTCGGGGAACCGAGGGGGTCGCAGCTGTGCCTGCTGAATTGTCAAGTCTTGGGTAGGAAGCGAAAGAGATGGAATTTGGTGGAAAATGTGTTTGGTACGCTAGGAAATGAGCCTCGTGTGTAACGTATTTGTGGATAGGTGTACACGTTTGTTAGGCTATCCAAAGCTCTGCCAAGAAATAAATGTACAACTATATTTGAAAGAAGAAGTCTATATATTTTTAAATACAGAACTGAAAAGCTGTATACTCTTCCTTGGATTTTAATTTCCATTGTCCTGTAACCTTTGTCTGTTTGGTGGCTGTAATAAAACATATTGTTTGGGTCACCGGAGGTCTCTGCTTTCATAGGGACACAAAAGGGGGATACCTTCTCCAAACCAAGAAGGGGGGCTCAGTTTGTCTCCCTACCCGCCCCCCCAGCTCATCAATCAGGGCAGCTGAACCCAGCAGAGGGCCCAGGACCTCCATCCCTCTTACTCCTGATGCGCGGAACAAAATGTGCCACAACTGCGGTTGACCGGTTGATGGCTAGACAATTACTGAAGTGTAAAAGAAAGCTGGACTTGGACAGTTCCCATCCAGGCACCGATCCAGCCCGGAGCTGTTTAGCTTCCTCAGGTTGTCCGTCCCCCTCCCACCTTGCCCTCCAGCAGGTCTTGAAATGCCACTAAGGAAGGGGGGGGCACTTTCCAACCATAACGAACTGTGTACGTGTTATAAATGTTTCATCAATTAAGGGCTGGGTGTCTGTGGGTTTATTTAAAAAATACACGCGTGGCTAAGGCCACCTTGGGCTCTTCCAGCAGCAGCCACGGAAGGAATGGAGCTTTCTTGAAATCCTATCTGGGCTGTAGAGATGAGAATCGGCTGCTTCGCCTCTTTCTCCAGGAGCCACAGCCACAAGATTTAAAAACTTGTCCACAGGTTAATGGAAAGATAATTGTGTAGGCCTATAAAATTCGAATGCAGGTCCACCTTGCCTCTCCGTGGGTATCTGGAAATTCAGCGTTCTTGAGGACCCCCCTCCCCAAAAAATATTGAAGGAATGGATTTGTCCATTTAATCCTTTTCTGAAGAGCTTCAGAGGACCAGAAGGGCAAGAATAATTCCAGGTAATTCCAGGGCTGTCCATAGCGCATCTCATGCCAGAAGAAAGGTGCAGGGCGTGAAAAATCTTTATATATCAGGGACCGAATGATCCATGGAAGACTTCACTAGTCCACTTGAAAGCCTTACAAAACAGAAGCAAAGAAACCGAATCAGCCTCGGCTTAAGAAAAATCCACGGGGATTGTCTAAAGAGCATCGCGACTGGCTTTCCCCCCGCCAATATCTGTCGATCTTGACTAAGATTTAGGAAGATGAAGAGGAAGGGGGGGGTTTAGTTGGCTTACTTTTTTGTTTTATTTTTCGCATAAAGTTCGCTGGCAGTGGGTGGGAATAGCTTTTTGAAAAAAGCTAGTTCCTGAAAGAGGGGAGGTAGAGGCAACTCATGGGGCAGAATTAGCAAAGCTAGCAAGTTTGGATAACCGGTGTGGGTCTTAAATATCAGCAGGGAGGCTACCCGTTGTTGGAAACAGGATGCTTGGCTAGTGAATTTGGCAGGTTCTAGGCCAGCCTTCCTGCATTAATCCTTAATTTGCAGCCATTCAAAAAGTCAAGAAGGTGGTTGTGGCCACCATCTTGACTTTTTTGACCACTCTTGCCAATGTCTCTGTGGGTGACCATGAACCTCAGGCTTCACAAGATTCAGCCCATTTTGACTTTTTTGAATTGCAATTACATTTGACAAGGGCCCCCAATTAACATCTCCAATTCCTGCCATTTTGGAAACGTCTGGAAATTGTTTGGTCTGCCCCAGAATGCCCTCAACTGCCCTCCACAGTTTAAAAAGGAAAACAGCTCTGAAATGTCAAATCCAGCCTTGGGTGGGCACCTTGTTGGCCCGCTCACGGAGCGTTACAGCCCCCCAAATTGGTCCCTTCTGAGCTTCAGGGTATGAAGCCAGGTGAAAGATGAAGCCAAGATGTGCCAGATCACCCTCTTCCACCAAATAGCTCACTTTATGGGGCAGAATAGAAGAGGGATCACCTGGTATCCTACTTTCCACCTCTATTCTGCTGCCATTATATACCTAAAAGGTTTAAGGCTGGAATAATCAAAGGACACTCCTTTTGGAACTCTCTATGCTAGTGTTTCTCAACCTTAGCAACTTTAAGATGAGTGGACTTCAACTCC